ACAATTAAAAATTAAATATGATTTTTTAATTCAATTATTCTAAATCTGCTTAAAGAACTTTAACAGCAATTTAAAAAAACTCCAGAAAAATATGCGAACATAAAAGTCAAATACGGCTTTGGGTCAGTTAGTTAAGAACCGCTGACTCTGAGCTTTAAATTTGACAGGGCACGAGTTCGATTCTTGGTAGTTGCAGTCTCAAAAAATTATTTATGAATAATTAAATACAAAAATTATTTCCAAGACCACTAACAATGGGTATTTGGCAATACTCGAAACAGATGTATGGTCAGCCAAAAATTCAATTAAATAAAATAATATAAAATGAATTTTTGTTATCATAGTTCACTACTGTTCGAAAAACCTCTTTATTAAAAACATAATTATTTTTTTTTTAATTTTGTTTTTTTACGGGCTAATTGGTCAATAGTTAAATTAGAAACTTTTTAAAGAATTTCTATTTGTTTCTATTTTAAGATTCTATTTTAACCGATATTTCGACTATAATCTATAGTATATATATATATTTTAAATACATATATTTAAATATTTTTTTATATATTTTAAGTTTGTTTACATGTGCATATTGAAATATACATTAAAATTTAATACATAAAAAGTTTAAAAAAAATAATAGACTTCAGATGTTCAAACGCAAAATATTTCCTCTTTCCTCTTATAGTCGTAAACAACAACAACCATAAAATTATTAAAATATTACACAAAATTTAAATAATAAGAGCAATAAAAAATACATGAATGAACCGCATAGAAGGAGTGAGAAAATGTGAGAAGTATTGTGAGTAAACACTGAGCGCTGTACGATTGAAATGTTCTGGTTGCAGTGCAGAAAGCACATAGTGCAGTCATTCTGTTTGAGTCCTGCGTTGCTTTTGTTGATTTCTAGGTTACTAACTGCAAACCACAGCAATAAAAACAAAAACAAAAACAAAAAAGAAATTACAACAAATATAACAACAACACCAACAACAACAGTAACCATTTTAAGCATTGGCATAGCAATGTCCTTGCTTCGCTGTTGAGGGCACTGCACTCTTGAATGCAATTAACAGCGCCTCAATGGTTTACTTTTTTTAAATGATATTAATGACTATGTCTGTTATGAACGTAGGTAAGTAAAACAAATTCTTTATGTATATGTGCTTGTTACTTTAGGAATATATGTGGCACATAGCATTTGTTGGTATAGGTTAGTATTTGCATATGCACAATGGAAACGATACTTTTATATTAGTTATTTTTTTATATGAAACTATGTGTCTGCACTTAATAACAGAATACTAACACCACTGTTACGAATACCAACTATAGAACAACGCTAACAGTTATGCCAATAAAAACAACAACAATAAGAAAGTTTAAGAAATCAGTATGCTTACAACATGCAACCACAAACATGGCCAAAGTCTTCTCACAAGTGCACCTCCTCTTACATACCTCCGCACCCACAACAGCACACATGTAAGCGCATTTAGAGCGCTTACAAGTAAAAAAAAAAAATATGGAAAAGCAAAGGTTTAAGCGTGAAATATAAAATAAGTAGAAATTCTTTGGAAAGTAGGTTAATACTTTTATTTTTCTGCTTTTTAATAAGGACTTGAAATATATGTATGTAGAGAAAAATTTTCTTTTTTCTTTTTTTGTAAAAAATTTTTAGAAAAAACTTTCTGGAAATCAACAAAGTTAAGCTGAACGTGATGTCTTTAATAATTGCAGTAGCTATATACATTTATTATAATTGGATTAAAAAGTTCGAATTTCGATATCGAATTATAAAAGTTTGATATTAAAACTTGAAGGAAAAATTTGAAGAAAAAAATTTGAGGAAAAACATTTGAGGAAGAAAATTTGAGGAAGAAAATTTGAGGAAGCAGACCCAAGGCAAAAAGGTTTATCTATTCATTCCTATCCTAGTTTATTAAAGAAACCGAAATTTTATATTAATATTTAATTTATTTTAAAATAATCTTCATTATAATTTTATGTTTCTTTATTTTAGGTGACCATGTTAGAAGACTAAATCTCTCTTTTAATCATACATGCAGCACTTGTGGAGAGAACGATAAAAGTTCTCAGAGCGCCGCCTCATCACTTCAAGGCCTTACTTTTTAAGGATCTTGGTGAAATACAAGTCCTGCCCCTGAAAAGTATTATAAGCTTTGCCAAAGATTCTAAGTGATTCTAACCCTTAACTTTTTAATTATACGGTAACACAATGGGCCTATAGGCCTAAGTGGATCCCTCGGGATAACCTACTTACCTTTTTATTATAATTTTATTAAAATTATTAATTAAAAATAAATAAATTTAATTTTTAAAAATATTTATTTTTAAACATTAACCCGTTGTTACTAGAGACCTAAATACCGAGAAGCTAAATGCATTGCAAATTTGAGAAAATTTAAAAAAACCAGTTAAAATAAAATGTTTTTATTAATCCTTGAAAATTCCAATTTTTGAATTTTTACCCGTTATAAGCAAACACCCAGATATCTTGTAAAAAAATGTGGTGCATATTCAAGCTCAGCAGACCAGAATTAAGCTAGAAGTGTTGAAAAAAAAAACAAAAGATTTAATTTTTGCCACACAGTGTAATCAAACCATAACCGAATTTGATCAGAATTCATATTAGGAATGAATTCGAATTTTCTATATTCAGTGCAAACTAGGTCTATGCCGCCAAATTTGATAATAAATTCTAATTAAATTCGAAATCATTCTAGGGAGGAGGTAATTGCTTTTCAACCATTGAAAAAGAAAAAGACCAATAACAAAAAAAGCCATACTTTTATAATCTAACAGAGCTATCACAATTGAAATCGCTTTCAGTCTTTCAGGAGCTTTTAGTCTAAAACGATTTAAGTACTGTTTAGAACTGGTTAAAAATAATTTAAGAATCATTACAAGAACTTTACCATGATGCTATAGGTTAAAGATTACGTTACAAAACTAGGAACTTACTTTTTTCAAACTTTCTAGCATACAATACTAGAACATTCTACAAACATATGAAATAATACCATATGCTCCATATCTGATGTACACAGTGTCAGCGCTGACTCTAGATTAAATTTTTTTTTTTTTCACTTCCCTTTATTTATACAACTGCCAAGATTTGGCATCTAGTATTTGTTTTTACAGCAGTGGAATTTACAATAATAATTCAAATCAATATTAAGAATTACATGTTGTGTATGAAATATTAACAATAAATAATAAAAACGTGTTTAAATTAAATAAAATAAGATATTTAAATATTAAGAGTAGATGGGTCAATAAAGAGATTAAAATTGTTTTATGCGTATCTTAAATAGTTATGGATTGTTTTATTGATAGTTCAGATGGAAATATGCGCTTTAAACGTATATTATATGTGACATCGTCATTTGGTAACTACCTTATTGCTGGGTTAGGGTTGAAGAGTAATCCCTAGTGATTTTTACTATTTTTTTGGATAACGTCTGCAACGAAGGGTATCTTCAAATCACGATGAATGGTATAGTTTGATATGTAGCAGTCAGCATTAATAGTTTTTCTAAATATTCTTGATTGTAGACTTTGCATTATTTGTATGTAGGATTTGCATGCTATGCCCCATATTTCGGCTCCATATTTTTATATTGGAGCGATTACCATTTTATATACTAGTAGTTTATTTTCTACTTATTATTTAAATGATAAATAAGTGTACAAAGGTTTAATTTATCAGTTATATATCTCTTATGTGGCAGTTAAATATTCTACTTTAACACCACTACACAATTTAATAAATTGTTTGTTTAAGTTGAGGATATGGTCTATGTTTCATGTGAGTTGTACAATAATACTTCATAATACGTATCTGTTAATAGCTCAGAGAATACCACAAAATACGTATCTATGTAGCCATCCCATATTAGATAAAGAAATAAAACTCTGTAATAAAGGTTAAAAACTACAATTCATAGAAAAACTTGGACTTGAAAAAATCCATGAAGGGAGCACAAAAAATCTCTACATAGTAGCGCAAATTCCTTTAATGTAATATTATAATCACAATAATCTATAACATTCTAAAACAATAATATCACCTTTTTACGTTATACCTTGGGAGTTACCAGGAAAAAAACTATTTTGGTTTTTGTAGGCCCAGAATCATTTTTTGGCGTCGGCGGATGTTATTTCCATTCAACCATTCCAAAAAAAGAAAAGAAACAAAGAAAGTCTTACTGAAATAATCTACCAGAGCTATCACAATCGCAATCGCTTACAGGGACTTGCAACATAAAATAACTATAGTATGTACAAATTTTTAATGACAAAATAAACAGAATCTCTAATTTTCAGAACTAATGAATTTCGCTGTTCATCGGTAAAGACGAAAGACCTATTAAATTATACAAACTTGGCGGGATGGATTTAATCTTTACTCTTCTATACTAGGCTTCTTGCGAGGAATGTGGAAGCAATGTGGTGAAAAATCGCTAATTGGGGTACATGGAAGTTATCTAATTGCCTGCCACTGCAACCAATCAACTCACCAATGATATTCGAATACTCAAAAATGCATTTGTGAGTTAAAAAGTCAACTTAGAACTCGAAAATCCTTTATATTTAAAGTTGTTGCCAAATCAGTTAACGATATCATATATACATTATATGATAATAATTATATGATAATAACTAATATTGTCTATATTTGTATATGAACCTAATAATTAATTATCAGATTATGATTTTCACCGAGTTTGGGTCACATGTATTTCAAATAATTTATCTTTTGCTTATGTGCACTGAAGGTGGTCTACGAAGTAGATCGAAATATCGGTATTATATATGAATCTAAGGAATAAAAAAAAATCTAATAAATAAATATAAAGGAATTGGAATGAGTCTTTATTGTGTCAATCTATATATATATTGCAGAATTTAAATTATTTTTTTTAAGAAAATTAATTCTTTTATGGGGATTTATATAGAATTTAATAACCTAAACTTACCTTGAGTTGTGATTTTCTCTTAAGTGCAGCAAATGAACGAGATTGTTGCCGTAGAACCTCCAGCGCAGCAGAAGAATTCTGAAATCACGCAATTCTCTATAGAGAAAAAGCAATGAAATATTTAAGATAAACAATTGGAAATTCCAAAAGAAATGAAAATTTTAAAATAGAAAAACAATTTAAGACAGCAAATAAATATACAACAGTAATTTAGAATGAACACTCTATGCAAATAAACGCGTACATGGAAAATAGCAATAAATAATATTAGCACTTTTCATTTTATATCAAATGTTATTTTTTTTCTATATCGTTTTATTTGTTGTTTTTTTTTTTTATTATTAAAATGTTTCTTTGTTTTTTATACATTTTAGGTTTGTTCCATTTCCAGTGAGGCAGGCGTGTTTACACTCAAAATATCGCAAAAATTGTTTGTTTTTATTTGAATGTTAAAACAAATAAAATGAATAAATAAAAACATTTTGATAATCAGAAAAAATATACAGTAAAAACAAAAAAAAGTACAGAAAAAAGTTTAGACTAAATTTGAAATTGAAAAACAAATATCACATCTATTAGAATTGCTTTAATTGAACCCTAACAGTTTAAAAATTCCCTATGCCTTTGCCCCGAACATTGAATGCAATATGAATTATTATGGAAACTAAGGTCGAAGTGCAACAATACGAAGAATTGAAGAACGATAGATACTCTATATAGTTATGCGACGATATATAAGTTGAGAATAGTTACACAACATTTAACATTCAACCACGCATAGATCTAAAAGAACTTAAACCATACCATATGACATGATATGAGATGATTATTTTCATAAAAAAAAAACAAATATTAGGCAAAGATTTTCATTTTCCTCTTTCACACATACGAAGCTTGATTAGTTTCATAAAAAAAAAACAATTAAGTTCTTTTATATATGATTATTCTTTGTATTAAAAATACAAAAATTATTAATAGATCTATAAGAAAAACTAAGAATAAATTTGATTTTGTTTTTTTTTCTTTGGAATTAATATTTGGCAAAGATTTTCATCTTTCTCTTTCGCACATACGAAGCTTGATTAGTTTCATAAAAAAAACAATGAAATTTCCTAATATAAGATAATTCCTTGTATTTAAAATATATTAATTAATAATCTATCTATAATTAAATGAAAGAAAATAATTTAGATTTTATTCATTTTTTATTCGAAATTAACATTTGCAAAAGATTTTCATCTTCCTCTTTCGCACATACGAAGCTTGATTAGTTTCATAAAAAAAAACAATTAAATTTCCTTATATAGGATAATTCCATACAATAAAAATACATTAATTATTAATAAATCTATAATTAAAACAAAAAAAATAATTTAGATTTTATTCCATTTTTATTCGAAATTAATATTAGGCAAAGATTTAAATCTTCATCTTCGTACATGCGAAGCTTAATTTCATAAAAAAAACAATTGAATTCCCTTATATACGACAATTCCTTATATTAAAAATACAATAATTATCAATAGATCTATAATTAAAACAAAAAAAATAATTAAGATTAATTATTATTCTATAATAATAATATAATAATAATCTATAATTAAAACAAAAAAAATAATTAAGATTAATTATTATTAATTAAGATTTCACTCCGTTTTATTTGAAATTAATATTAGGCAAGGATTTTAATCTTCATCTTTGCACAAACGAAGCTTGATTAGTTTCATAAAAAAAAACAATTAAATTTCCTTATATAGTATAATTCCTTCTATTTAAAATACATTAATTAATAATCGATCTATTTTTAAAACAAAGAAAATAATTTAGATTTTATTCATTTTTTATTCGAAATTAACATTTGTCCAAGATTTTCATCTTCCGCTTTCGCACATACAAAGCTTGATTAGTTTCATAAAAAAAAACAATTAAATTTCCTTATATTGAACAATTTCTTACATTAAAAATATATTAATTGTTGTTGGTTTGTACAATTTTTTCTTATTGTGTTTTGACTTGCATATAAACAAAAGTACACTCATAAGAAGGTATTTGACCTATAATTGTATATAAGCCAAACGCTACCAACTACATCAATAACAACAATGGCAACAACAACAACAATAGGTTCAACAAGCGAAAGGCGGTCAAATATGTGCAGCATTTCTTTTAATGGTCATTTTTTTTTGTATATGTACATATTTCCTTATTCCTTAATTTTTTTTAAGTTTTATTTTCATATCACCATTTTTTTTCATGATATTAGGTAATTCTATAACCGCATAAAAAGGTAGAAAGTTTAGTCTTTGCACCAAGGAAATACGCTATCATTAGGCAAATTTGTTTGTGTGCATATTTGCTTACTTAAAAAGCTAAATATTTACCATTTACCAACAACAAATCCATATACAATGCACAACTGTAACAGAGCGTTAGCATAAGCATAAGCAGCAGCAATAATGCTAACATTAACAATGCCAACTACATGGGATATTAAAACTTTTCTTTAAGCCACCAAATTTTTTGATTGCCTCTTGCATTGTATGCTATTGTTTTTTATGTTTTAGTGTCTAACGGTATATTAAGTTGCGTGGGGTACCGTAGGGTTAGGGGTGTATAGTGTGTGTGTGCGTTCCTGGTTAAAATAACAGGAAATATGCATGCTAATACGTGTTTTTTTTGTAATGTTATTATTCCCTTACAGTGCTTTTAGTTATTCGAATTTACTCTTGAATGAATTTATGTAAATATTAAGTTGTTGTTGTTTTTTTATTTGAAATATTTTGAAGTTTCACATCGTTAAGGCAATTCAATTAAAATTTTAATTACATACATATATTTCACTTACAATTATATTGTAACAATTAAAAAAATTTCAAATGAATTAAAGATACAAATAATATTTTGAATAGATAGAAATAAATAAATATATTTGATGATATTCACTAACCGCTGTGCTTACTTTGTATTTTGTTATTTTTCTAAAATAATAAACAATTAAAATTTCTTAAAATTTATTTTTGTTAGTTTACTTAATTTATTTATTTTTTTTTTTTTGTATTATTATTAACCGCGCCGCATTTAGCTTACAAAACCGTAACAGAAACAGAAACCATGAATGAAATAAAAATTATTTTTGTGAATACTTTCGCTTTTAAAATTTTCTGACCGTTCCGCTCAGCTGTACACTTGCAACTGATTCGCTAGAGTTTCGCACAGGACTTGTTAACGGCCGCTTGCTTGTCTCTTGCCAGCCTGTGCAGTGCACTTTGCAGAATTCAATTTGTATGAATATTTTTTGTTGTTGTAAAATTTCGTTGAATTTTATCAGTGACATTGCAGGGAGCTGTGCACGGTAATTTGTTACAGCACGGCCCAAACAAACTCCATGCCTGACACACTAACACACCTAACACACTGCATCCATCCTTCTGCTGCTATTACAATTTCTTTGCTTTGCAGAAGCATATAACATGAGTTGCATCTCAATGAAATGTGTATGTACTATACATGCGATAGGATGTGTATGTGTATGTGTGTGTTTGTTTGTAATATAGTAAAGCTGTTTCACACGGTTGTTGTTTGTTTTTGTTATTTGCTGCAGCCAGTGCAGTTGCAAGCTTTTTCACTAATTTTGTTTGTTTTCATTCTTGAGTGATACGAAAGTTCATTGCACCCCATAGAAACTCTATTTTTTTCCAGTGACGTTTCCAATATTTTCGTTAAGTTAAATAAAATATATTAATTTTTCTCATATAAATCAAAAATATATTAGAATCTATGATTTTTTTTTTAAACATACATTTATTTATTGCATCTTCTTTTACAATGAGACTAACGATAAGTTGCAAAATCTTATCTCTAATTACATACTTGCCAACTGATACAAATAAACTACCAGATATCATTGATTCTTTCATGGTAAATAAAATTAAAAAAAAAACACATTGAAGTTAAAGTTGGACTCGATTTAAATTTTGACCATTCACCAATTTAACTTACATATGCATTGTGACCGAAAAGTTTTCGGGAAATTTTAAATAAAACGCAAAATTCTTAACCTTCATCAATATTTATTTTATCTCCTTCAAAATATGCTCCATTAGAAGCGATACACAAATGCCAACGTTTCTTCCAATCATCAAAACATTTTTTATAGGCGCTTTCCGGTATGGCTTTGAGTTCCCTCTGCGAATTCTGTTTTACGTCTTATATGGATTCAAAACGCGTTCCTCTGAGTGGTAATTTGAGTTTGGGAAACAGGAAAAAGTCACACGGTGCAAGATCAGGTGAATACGGTGGCTGTTCGATGGTATTTATTGAATTTTTGGCCTTAAAATCGTTGATAATGTTGAACAAATTGAGGTGAATCGGAACAAGCCGTGCGTTGACACGTCGCATACACAAATTGTCCACCAAAATCAAACGAGCCATCTCACGACCGATGCCTAGCTCTCGTGCTATCTCTCTAACACTCACATGAGGATTTTGGAACACGATTTCCTTTGCCTTTTCAATGTTTTCGTCGGTGGTAGAGGTCGAAGGTCGTCCAGAACGCGGCATGTCTTCGACGGTCGTACGACCGTCCTGAAAGGCTTTGTACCACTCATAAACTTGAGTTTTCGATAAAACTGATTCCCCATAAGCCTTTTGTAGCATTCGCAACGATTCTGCACACGAAATTTCGTTCGAAACACAAAATTTGATGCAAACTCTTTGTTCAATTTTTTTTTCCATTGTTTTTTTCGCAACGCACTACTGAGGTGAACTGGTTTCAACAGCTGCCGTAAACGAACTGTCTGACAGATCGCGCTCATTTTTGGCATAGAAATTAAGGACAGTGCTGCCAAACTACATAAACTTAAAATATCGAAAAATATACAGCGCGCGAATTTTAAATGAGAATTTCCGAAAACCTTTCGGTCACAATGTAGATGTAACATTTTATCTACGCAGCCCACACCTACATCAACGAACCGTCTAACAGACTAGAATTATTTTAGGCTCAGATAAATGAAAATATCGACTTATCTTGCAAAATACGAAACATTGATGATTTAGAAAGCGAAACG